TTTAAGATTTAAAAAATACTTTTCGTACTTAAGTACAATAAATATCACATACTTTAAGACTTTTACTCCAGTAATATTCTAAACGGTGACTTCAACTTCTACCAAAGTCATTTTCTGATAAGATATCTGTACTTTTACTTGAGTATGGCTTTCAGGTACTTTATACACCACTGGAAATCAGCTGGAATTTCTATGCTTTTGTTATCATTATGAGGGCATATTTTTGTGTCATATAAAGCACATGTTCTGTAGGATCCATCGTAATTCCTCGTGTGGATTCCTGACACAAAGTATAAATCGGTTAGTGAGAGCTTGTTTGGCTCAAAATCTAATGCAACACATATATTTTACTGAGAATACAATCCCAGAATGCCTTGCAGCAATAATAATAATAACAATAAATCCAAGGTAATGGATGAGAGTAATGTTGATAATAAACAAACATATTTGATTCTATTAGTAAAATAGTTCTGTGCTTGTGTTTGTATGTTTATGTCTAATGACACTGTCGGTCTTTGCAACACAGAGCTGAGCTGTTTTCTGTGAATACGCAGGATTCGTTAGCCGCTATAGGGAAATAACCAGAAGAATGAGTGCAGGAAACTGTAAATCACTTACAGTAAAATTATGACAACACTTTGAATTAATATGATGAGAAATGGCAGTTTGCAGCATTGAGCAGCATAATGGTCTGTTGTACAGCTGAAATGACTGGAAGCGACTGACTCCAGGAGCAGCGCATGTTCGCGTGTAAAACAACCGTGCCACTCTTACGCTAAAAATAGGGAGGACAGAGTGAAACCGCTCCTCAAGAAAAATCCCACTCCTTTCCTTCATAATGATTTCTCATAAAGACTGAACTACCATGAGCTCCAAGCTTATGAAGCAATGGTTTATGCTTCTGTTGAGGCCGTCAGTCAGTGTCATTTCAGCTTCATGTAGAAAAACAATCATTCAAATGTATTAGCCAAATTCCAGGTGAACTACACCAGCCATGAATCCGTTTATGCATGCATTAAAAACAGTGATTATGAGTCACCAGTTTTATACTGCTGCAGACATTCAGACAGTGATCTGACTGAAACTGACTTGACTTCATTACCTCAAATCAAATCAACATCAAATACAAAAATACTTCTAAATAGTGTGTCACAAAAAAAAAAAACATTCTGCTGGAATACTGTGCATATTAAATAATACACCTGCCCGTATTATACAGGATCTTAGTAGATTGTGATGAACAGCTGACAGATTTGGGCTGCTAATTGTGAGTCATGAAAATAATGAAGTAATAAAGACTACTGATTATGGGCTAAAGCTTGAAGAAAAAAAAAAAGAAATGCAAATTCTATGACATGCTTGCCTTTAAAACTCTCTGGGTAGAAAAGTACAACACATTCAAATACATGTATACTTTTTAAACCACATGAATTTCATGAATGCTAATTAAACGGAGACATAATGATTCTTATGTGTAAATATTACATGATTTTACACTATTTATATTCATTCACAGCATGTAGAAGATGTGTGTGACATGAGTCTCACTGGATTATCAGTGTAAATGGACATTGTAGGTCTGTGATAATGATGTGTGTGTGCACGTGTGTGAATCAGAGACGCACACACACACACACTCTCATGGGTGGGTGGAGCAGGATCCTCAGCAGCAGCTGATGCATGAACACACACACACATGCACTCCAGCGCTCAGACGGAGGCTCTGCTCTGATATGAGGATCCGTGTGTGTGTGTGTGAGTGTGAGTGTGTGATATGAAGGTGATGATTTCTCTTTCTCTCTGCCGCTGTCTCACAGGAGTCCTGCAGCCCAAGAGAAGCCCCAAAGTGCTGGTAAGACAACTTCCCTTTCATTTCTCACCTCAGCACATCAGTATAGACAAAGTCTGTTGCAATCAAATTGTTGCACTTTCAGTTTAGTCTTTGTGTCTCATCTGTTGAGCTGATATGTGAAAATGAATGCCTGTTTAGAAAAATGTACAACACAGTAACTTCAAACAATGCATTTAAGATGTAAGTTGTGGTATTGGTGGGTGCTGTTCTTTGGAAAACCACCCAAATGATTGGAAATCCCAGTATTAAAGAACCATTTAGTACAGTGGTTCTTGGAGACCCAGTGCTCTGCTCATTCTGTATGTCTCTCTTATCTGACACACTCAGTTGAGTTCGAGTCTCTCCTAACGAGCTGATGATCTGAATCAGGGCTGTTAAATGAGGGAGACACGCAAAATGTGCAGAGCTGTGGGTCCCCTGTTGGTAAATTCATTGGCCATCTTGCTTCTATTCCTTAGATCCCTTTTCACAGTTGGCTGTTTAGTCTGTATGCCATTTGATGTCAAACACTTTTTTAACTCTTCCTTGACCATTCAATCCATTGTTAGACCATGCACAACATGACATACGATAACGGTATCTTTTCCAAGTTACAACATACGAACTATGACAGTAATAATCTCAGGTATTGATTATGTGCTTTATGTAGTGTTAAAAGTGGCTAATGTGAGTTTAAATATCATTTTGCGTGACCTTTATAGCCATACTGAAGGCAACAGTAGTTTACCTTAGATCTTGAAAATAAAGCAAACATGTACGTTAAAGCTGTGAGCTCAATGCAAACCAACAAGTGAATTCATTAAGATGGAGTCAATCACTCAGTACCTTTAATACTGTTAAAAAGGTTTAATATTCATGAATTAGATTAACTTATCGAGTGCAGTGCGCTTACAGAGAAGCTTCGCCCACACGCGCTTCTGATTGGATGTGATATTTGATTGATTCTGTCACGTCACATAGCCGTGTTGCGTGTGGTCTGGACAGACAAATTGCTTGTCGCTGGAATCTTGTCACGTCACGTCTGGTTAGGAACCGGTGTTAGATGTTTGTCCAGTCTATATACACACAGATCGTCATTGGAGCATGCTGGCAAGAAGTTACAAAAACGTTCTGATGTCTCAAACTGTTATCATATAATATAAAGCTGACGTAAAGGTACAGCATAGTGTTTTCTGCAATATCTTGGCAAGGCTACTGCATATTGCATTGAAACTTGATATGTCAAATAATGACCATGCTTCATGATTGTTTATGCTTGCTTAGCTTTTCACTTTGCCGCTGTTGTGCATGTAATTATGCCCTGAATCCAACCCATACATCCCTGTACCCCAATAGCACTGCACTATAAACAACACCACACCATAGCAACCGCACAGCAATGTACTGACAGCCGCCCACAACACTCGAGCAATGTGGAAGAAGCGGCATTAGCATGAAAAAGCTCTGCTCATGTTTTTATCTGGGAGTGTAATAATCTAGTTGTTATCAGCATTTAATAATCATTATCATGTCAGGTGAATGAGATTCTAAGTATCTCATAAGAAATGTGAATAATTTATAAGATCAGGACAAGAATTGGCTTTGCAGCAAACTCTTTGCACTGTGCGTGTGTGTTTGTGTGTGCATTCGTGCGTGCGTGTGTGTGTGTGTGTAATAGTGGCTGAAAGAGTGTTGTGTGCTTGAATTGTAGGCACACACTCAACGTATCGACTCTGTGGGATTGTGTTGCTCTTCTCTATCCATTCTCTCCATGAACTGTCTATTTTTAGGCCTGGCCTCTTTTTTGTTCGTTTCTCATTCGATCCCCTCACTTGCACCAAATTCCAGTTTCTTTCCTTTTCTTTCTCTCTTCACATATTATTCTTTCTTTCTAGGTCAAACCCAGTATCTCTCAATCACTCATCCACAATCAGAACAATATATCGATCAGGCTGATTAATCTGCAGTTCCAGAGTTTTGTCGTCAGGTGCTCATTAAGCAGTGGCAGCAGTGCCTCATTAATAGAAATGTATCTGTTCCACAATCTGCCATCACTTTGTCAATGGATAGTGTACATTTGCCACCATAGGCGTATCTTGACGTTTTGAGCTTGGGGGGCCAAACCAAGCCAGTCGATTTGGTCAGTCAAACTTTTAAATACATTTTAGCATTTCTGTAGTAAACGTACAAATTCACACTCCGTGTACCATTTAAGCGGTTTTACTATGATTACATAGAGCAGCAGCAAGCCGTGAGGTTGCCATGGCAACCAGATACATTGCACGCAAATTACTTGTCAATGCTGCACTGTCTATTTTTGCTGCAGTAACAATAAACACGTCTAATAAAATGCGCTATAAACATGTTTGCCAACAGAATCGCAAAGTAGACTTTAAGCAAATCAATGATTGAATTACCCACTACTTTAAAACAGATGTCTGTTAGACATGATTCAAGTTAAACGCACAAAAGCAGGCACACAGACATATTTAGTAACGTTGAATCTTACTGAAAATGGCCGATTAAGCAGTTTATATTCTGAAATCTATTTTTTAGATTTTATTCTGTGTGCATTAAATTACATTTGGATGTAAATGGCCCTTTTCCTGACATAGATGTAAAACACTGTGCTGCTAAAACGAGCGTCCTGCGGATCACCTTTATGAGGCTGTCCGGGTCTGGAGTCGTCAAGGTTTTTGGTATTGGTATTTTGGTTAGGTCCAGATTCCACTGCAGTTGTTTTATGTTGTAAAAAAATGCTAAATATCCATGTACGCCATGCAACAGGCAAGCAGGCTATTGTCCGCCAAAATGCAGATTTGTCACGTGACAACTTCTTATGCAAATGACATTGGGGAAGCCATTAGTGAGTTAGATTTTTTTAATTAGATTTTTTTTTTTACAAAATAACAATTTAAAATATATATAAAAACTACATTATGTGTATATTTACTTTTTAGTTGAAAACATTATTAATTAACAACTATTTTGTAAAATCTTTCAATCGTTAGGGGGGGCCAGGCTCCCCGCCCCCCGCAAGCTCCGCCCATGTTTGACACTGCTTTAGACACATCCCACCGGTTTGACTTAATTAACAACAAACACTGTGAGACCAACTGTGACGTCCTAAAAAACACAAGCGTGAATGAGATTCTCCACTGCGACAAAGGCAACTGTCTGTGAAGTTAATTTCTGATCTGTTTCTCATACAAAAGTGTCATATGGCTTCAGAAGACTTTGTATAAACTACTTTACTGTAGTGTTGGGAGGTGTTTGTCCTCGGCGGTGTGGCAGTGCCCTGTATGTTCCACTGTGGGAAAAAAAACAATCATGCTAGTGTGAAATAACATGAGAGTGGGTAAATTCTGACCAGAGATTCAGAAGTCAACTAGTCGTGCCACTGCACTCTCTGCGTTTTTCGTATACATAATCCTTAAAATTCGTCATGCACAGAAACCTTGCACACTGAGTCCGATGCGTATTAATTATTCCATTGCGAAAAAATGTGCAAAACAGTACTAAATGTAGTCTTCAAGCAGTGAGGATGATTTTGTTGTCCTCTTGCTTCTTAAAAAGAGAAAAAGAAAGGAAATATTGGGTCCATCCAATCCTGAGATATAGAGAGGAAGGAGAGTTCCCCCTCCTTATTAAGGAGCAGCGGGATTATCCCGGGCGATTCAAAGTTTACTTCAGGATGTCGGTGACTCAGTTTGATGCTTTGCTAGCGATACTAGAGCCACATATTAAAAAGAAGACCACCAATTTCCGTGAACTCGTGTGCAAGGATCTTTACAGAGCTTTGTGCTGCGAGACGAAGTGGATCAACTTGACAATCGGCATTCTATATTTTGGCGTTTGCTTGTACGGTGGCTCTGAATTGTCAAAACACCTCTCAAAATGCTTGCTATGGATGCGAAAAACGCAGAAAATCAAACCCGATCGGATTTTTTTTATGATTGGCGAAAGTTTCGGAGGCAGTGTGTAAACGTGATTGACACAACGTGAGGCTTGTATTTATTTTTCAATGTGTGAAAATTTCGGACTCAGTGTGCAATGGCCTTAAACCTGTACATCTCTGTGTCTCTCAGCAGTTGGAAAGGAAGGACAGTCAGGGCAGCTCTCAGCACAGCATATGCAGTCACCGCAGCACACACACCAACTCGCCCGGCCGACCACAGCCCATCGTGCCCACTGACACCCTGGGGGGCCCTCCGCCAGTGCCACCTCCTCCCACCCAGCCGCTGCCCGTCCTGCCCGCCTTTGACACCTCTGCAGCCAATGGGACGCTCCAGAAGAAACCAGACCCCTTCAAGATCTGGGCGCAGTCCAGGAGCATGTACGAGAGCCGGGGTGAGTAGCCTGGCTTCATTCACTCGTCTTACTGCTGGCCCTGTTTTTGTTTAAGCAAGCAACTACTGTAACGTGACATGTTAGCACGCTCTTCTCTCGCATGGATATGTTACAGCTACACACTTCAATTCAGTTCGATTTATCTTAAGATCCAGGTTTCTTTGCCAGTAGAACTTATTGTTTATCATATTCATCATTTTGAACTAGAAGCTGATAGTGTACAGTCAGATTCAAAATAGAGTCTCACAAGAAATTATATTACATAGAAATAACACTTTGTATTAGAGCCATCACAATACATTATATCTCATGGTACGATACCAGCGAAAGTATTGTTACACCACTCTTATTGTTTAAAGGAGTCTATTAATTCTTTCATTAACACACACCATTATACAAAATTAATATTCCTTAACATTCTTAATTTCACACAGCAGTGCAATGCATTTATTTTCAGAGAAAACTGAAAATTCATTGATCGCCTTTAAAATCGCCTTTAAAGTTGTCCAAATGAAGTTCTTAGCAATGCATATTACTAATCAAAAATTAAGTTTTGATATATTTACCATAGGAAATTTACAAAATATCTTCATGGAACATGATCTTTACTTAATATCCTAATGATTTTTGGTATAAAAGAAACATTAATAATTTTGACCCATACAATGTATTGTTGGTTATTGCTACAAATATACCTGTGCTACTTATGACTTTGTTTTGTGGTCCAGGGTCACATATATTACCTTTATTTAACCAGGAAAAAAGACTCACTGAGATTAAAATCTCTTTTGCAAAAGTGTCCTTGCCAATTTTAGGCAGCCAAGTTTGCATATACAAATAAACAACGCAGTTACAACATACAATACAAAAACCAGCATACCAGCATATAACCGATTAAAAACAATTACGCACCACTAACTCGCTCTCTAGATTATGTAATAAAAACTTAAAGTAATTTTAAGAAACCAAGTTTTGTAACTTCATCTCCTTTTGGAGAAAATTCCAATCTGAAATGGCGGCATATTTAAAAGAGGTTTTACCAAGCTCAGTTCTGACAAGGGGCACACAGAGATTATAATTTGATTGAGAACATAATGAGTAATTGCCAGATGAAGCCATTTGAAGGAAATAACAGAGATAAAATGGCAAATAACCCATTATGGCTGTATATATCAACAGATACCAATGCATTTTTCTCTGAATACTCAAAGAAGGCCATGCCAATCTTTTGTATAGTTCACAATGATGAGTTGAATATTTACAATCAGTTATAAATCTCAGAGCAGCATGGTACAAAGCATCCGAGGAGACGAGAAGGTAAGGGGGGCATGCTGATAGACTACATCCCCATAATCGAGAACTGGTAGAAAAGTTGAGGACACAAATTTTTTCCTCACATGAAAAACACAACGTATTTCTAGAGTAAAACCCTAACTTTTTCTTTAATTTTTAAATGTGTGAACCAAAACGTAGTGTGTTAATAATAATAATCAATAATAATACCCAAATATTTGTACTCTGACAATGTTGGTTAGAAGGGGCAGAGCAATAAACCATAGTATCGTCTGCATATAAATGAAACCTTGCATTATCAATATTAAAATCAAGGCAGGTTTTATATATATATATATATATAAATAATAACGGCCCCAACACAGATCCTTGTGGGACTCCCTTAACAACCTCCAAAGAATCTGACTGAACACCTTTGTAGCATTTGGACCAATCAGACACACAATTTTTCATTAGATTTAACAATTCAATTATTAATTAGATTAACAAATAGTCACAGACCCCTCACCCAATAAACATACTGGGTGCCAGGATGTCTGTGAACGACACCAGGCCCCTGGTTACCATGGCAACCAGGACCCCTCAGCCAGATCAGATAAACTTTTACGACCTAAAAGTATGCGGGCAGAGCAACTCTTATTCAAGTCTCTCTAAAACAGACACGTAATGCCCATAAAAATGGACTCTTCTCTAATTAATTCATAGGAAA